CTCCCCCCCCCCCCGCCTCCGAAGCGAAGCCTGAGTGGCTTGCCGCTCGACCTCGCTGCTCTCTTCCCCCCGTTCTCTCCCCTCGCTGCTCTTTCTCCCCACCCCGGCTCTCTCCCCCTTCCCCCCGGCTCGAAGTGAGGCCTGAGTGGCTCGCCACTTGGGCCTCGCTGCTCTCTCCCCCCCACCCCCGCCCGGACCTGGTTTACGACACTGGGTGGCTTGGGCTGGCTTCTTTTTTTTTTCCCCCCTCCACTTTTTTACATCACCTTCCTACACCTAGTGCTCGGCCGCCGGAACCTTGTTGCCAGGGGAGACGGCCGCTTTACGGCAGCGGCGTTTGAACCGGCAGGAGGGAAAAGTTTCCCTCAGCTTGGCGCCCCTCAGGTAGAAGGCAGCGCGTGGGGTTTGAGGGGGGCGCGCGGGGAAGGAGGAGGAGGAAAAAGAGCGCTCGCGCGGGGCGGGGGGGGGATTCCCCTCGTTTCGGGCGCCTGAAGCGAAAGGAGAAGAGCGCCAGCGGACCAGCTCCCTTCGGGCGCGCGAAGCTGTGTAATAGTGCGCGGCAACGGCCAATATATAGACGAGCGCGCCCTGGCCTGAGAGGACAGTTGCCTGTAATGCCTCAGCCGGGGTTGCCGTTAGTTGGGACCGGAAAAAAGTTAGGGGAGGTTCTTTGGGAAAATAGGTGAACTCTGCGGGTGCATTGAGGCGTCTACATTTAAGGAACACGGACAGAAATGGTAATTCCTTGTAATTTGGGAGGATGAAGGAAATTATTCCCCCCCCTTTTTTTTCTTTACACCAATTCTGTAATTGGTTTAATTTAAAATGCATTTTTTTAGACTCCCAAGGAGCAAGCAAGTGTTGTTGATTGCGGTCTTTAAGGTTCCCCCGCACACCTGCTTTATTTGCTTGTAAAGATTAGCATTGAGATGTGGTGTAACGGTGCTCAATGAATGAAGAGGGATTTTTGGTGTGGTCCAGCAGGGCTTTTTATGCCTCCCCCTCTCTCTCCACGAAGGCCGGCCTGATGCTTTTAGGAAGCCCCTAAGTAGGGCAGGAAGGCCATAGTTTTCCAGCAGCTGGTGTTTAGTGGCATACTGCTTCTAAACATGGAGGTTCCATTTGTCTATTAACAGATAGTAGTCACTGAGGCACTGTTGGGAGGCATACACTAACAAAAGATGCTGGTTTATTTATACTCTGGATAATCTGGGATCGCCCATTGACTGTGTGGTCAGAGTGTTGCCAACACACTGTACTGAAATATTCTAAAAATGCTCTTGGTCTATTTTTGGTTTTTTTGATGACGATGACTGATAACAAGTGGAGTGGTGACTCCTTTGCAGGAATCAGGAGCGGAAAATCCTTCCATTTAGAAACAGGCATGCTTTGCCTTGCAGAGGGGAATCCCTCGTGTTAATTTAAGCCATAAGGGGAGGAGCCAAAGCCAGCAACTCTGCTATATGTATATATTTGTGGGGCATTGGTATAAATAATGATTCATTAAAACTCTTCACTATGGAGAATGAAATTTAAAATCTACACCTGTGAATATTAATATTATTTATTTAGAGTATGTGTATTCTTTATCATTAGTATGTTTAGTTCCACTAATGTAATGCTTTAAGTTCTTGACAGTATTTGACCTGTCAGTTGACTAAATATTGTTGACCAGTCAAATTACCAGTCCAGCCCTAACTACTTCATGTAATATAATGACACCTCTCAGACACCATTAGGGAATGCAGTGGGATCATATACAAAATATTCGGTTATGTTGAACCTACCACCATGGCCAAAGAATGCATTTTCCACTTTCGTCCTCCAGTGGTCAAAATCATACACTCTGTTAACTGTCCACCGAAATACTGGGGTCTTGTAGTCTCAGAATATTGAGACCCCCAGAGGCAAGCTATAACAAAAATTATATTACAATAGCCTTTAGAAAAAGCCAGGAGGTCCCAAGAAATGGTGTAATTTTAATGTCCTGTCTCTAATTTCCAGTGGCCACAGGAATATCTTTGATGATATGGGAATCCATAGTCTTCAGATAAATTAATAATGACCTTGGTGCTAAGAAATATGTTACATGGAATGTAGTTAAATAGATCCTTCATTTACAGTAGCAGTGTAAGTCTGTATACCAAATAAAGGGACTGGCTATCACTTTCACTCCTGCTATGGTTTAAACAAGGATGTTGGACTGAATTTATGTATTTGATTTATTAACTTCACTTATACCTTACCTGTCTTCCCAATGGGGACTCAAAGCAACATTCTCCTCTCCTCCATTATATCCTCACAACAACCCTGTGAGGTGGGTTATGTGAACAAGACGTGAGTGGCCCAGCAAGATTCCATGGCGGAGATGATATTTGAACGTGGGTATCTAAAATCCTAGTGTGACACTCTAGCTGCTACACCAAATGGACCTTGGTCTGATTGTGCAAGGCAATTCTTGTATCCTTACATTGAAGCTAAGAGGAGACTGAAGCTCAGCTTTTCAAATGGATAATGACAGAAGAATTCTGTTGCTTAGAAAGCTGTGCATAAGGGTGTCATTCGTCTAGATCTGTAATACATCTTCACCTTCTTGTCTAATTACTACCTCTGCCCCCTCCATAGATTAGTGACAGGGATTTACTTGTGATGCTCTTAAAAGTCTAGGTGTTGGGTGATTTGCATATTCAGTGGAGACGATCACCTTACAGGACTTTTTAAAGTGTCCTGGAGGAGGAGTCCAGCTCAGCACATTAGGAACTTGTAAGCATTTATTGGTCTTGTGACTTTCTTATTAGAAAGGATGCCTTCAAGAGAAGGAACATTTTAGCTATAAAGGCGAGATTTCAGACTATCAAAGACAAAATCTTTTAGGGCTTATTCTCAAATTCTGCTTTTACAAGCATAGGATTAGTATAAGATTTAATGAACTGGATTGGGGGATTTGCTTTTCTTTGGATTGAATTTTTGTAAATATTGAGCTTTCTGTACTGAGACTTTACTTCCATGCTCAATGATCACAGACTTGCATTTTATTTGCCACAGCCTGTGTTCCCTTTTATCAACCTCACTGAGACTAGCTTTCCACTGCTTAAAGGAATCCTTCTTACCTTTTACACCTTCCATTACTTTGTTTGTTAACCATGCAGGCTTTTTCCTATACCTATTTGTGCCTTTCCTAACCTGCAGTATATATTTTTTCTGAACTTCTAGGATTGTAGTTTTAAATAGTCTCCAAGCTTCCCCAATGGTTTTGACTCTTTCTACTTTTCCTTCCATTTTCTTCCTCACATGTCCCCTCATATCAGAGAAGTTACCCCTTTTAAAGTTAAAAGTGGTTGTGTCAGTCTTTTTGGGCAACTCCCTATTTATACAAATGTTGAACTCAATAACATTATGGTCACTGTTCCCAAGTGGTGCAATCACTTTTACATCTCTCAGCAGGTCTTGGGCGTTACTTAGGACTGAATCCAGGATCGCCTATTTCCTGGTATGTTCTGTGATCGTCTGTTCCATAGCACAGTCATTGAGAGTGTCTAGAAACTCAATCTCTTTTTCCCGACTAGAACACATATTGACCCAATCAATGTGTGGGTAGTTAAAATCACCTATTACAACACAGTTATTTCATCTAACCGCTATCTTTAATTCATTCATCATTTTATAATCCTCCTCTATCTTTTGATCTGGTGAGCGATGATAATCTCCCAGTGTTAAGCTTCCTTTTGGCCCACTATTTCAACCCACAGCATTTCCATAAGCGAACCTATTTATCTTACTCAATCTTACTGGACTGTATACTCTCTCTGACATACAGAGCCACCCCACCTCCAACCCTTCCCCCCATCCTTCTGATATAATTTATAACCAGGAATCACCGTATCCCACTGATTTTCCTCAT